CAACTGGGTAGGTGAGATATTAATTATAACTCACAGATCACGCAAGATAGATGCATTTTTTCTCCCAACTACAGGAAGAAGGATTGATTCCACCTTCCCAAATTCATTAATGCCAACGAAATTCAAAGATTACACTTATTAGTATATAAGTATTATTTTATAAATTAATTTTAAAATTACATATTAAAATCAGTGTTTAATAAAATTAATTTTTTAAAATATATTAAGTTGATGTAAAAAATATACTGTTAAAATTATTTAAGAGAAAATTAATCTTAAATTACATAAAAATTAATCTAAATTGTGCATTTAGAATTAAAAAAAAAAAAGGAAAAAAACCATTTTTGCCAACATGATCATGTAATTGGTTTAACTAAACCAACGACCTATTAATTCAAATGGAAAGAATTTGATCTCTTTTAAATAAAATTTTGAATTTGAATCTTGTAAATGGAGAAACAGGTACTATGAAAGTTTTTCCCTAATAAAGTCCGACACAACTCGATTTTAAATTAGTTAAGATTTAATATGATTATCATATACGAAGAGGTTAATAAAAAAAAAGATTGGTCTAACTAATTGCCAATCTATAAAGTCATTAGTTCCCCATGTCCAAGGGCAAATGGCGTCACTTCACTTGCCCACTACAACTCTGCATGTTCGAACTCGAGTTACCTCTTTTCCCTCGCTGATGCAGCAGAGATGTATCCTCACATGATCCAATTCAGTTTTTATTTGAAAGAAAAATTATTGCTTTCTTTCAAATAAAAAAAAAATGAAGTCCTTGAACCCAAAAATGAAGAAAACAACTGAAATGGAATGGAGTTGACGATCAAGACCATTGGGTCAAGTGGGATAGGGTTCCATATTTTCAAAAAAGCATGGTCAATGAGTACACCAAAAACTGTTATGTTCATGTACCAAAAAAAAAAAGGAAAAAACTGTTATGTTCATGTACCAAAAAAAAATGGAAAAAACTGTTATGTTCAAACATTAAGGTTAAAATATCAACTTGGTCCCTCAATTTTTGCATTTATACTTGAAATTATCTTTTAACTTAAAAAAATACTAAAATTATCTTTAAATTTTTGATATAAAAATAATCTTTCTGTTAATGAAATGTCACATAACTCGTTATTTTGTTATAAAATTATGTTTTTTTAAAACTATTAATGATATGTAAAATTAAATAATTATATTTTATTATCGCAACATATTTTTAGTTATATATTAAATTGTTATGTAGTTCAAGTTAAATGATTAAATTTGTACTTATAATTAAAGTTTAAAATCTAAATTGGTATTTATCTTTAAAGATCAAAAACTAAATTGATACTAAATTAAAGTTCAAGAATTATTGTGATGCTAATAATTAAGGTTTATGAATAATTTTAATATTTTTTGAAGTTTAAAAATAATTTTAATATAAATTTAAAAGTTGAGGGATGGAATTAATATTTTAACCAAACTTTAAGGTAGTTGACAAGTCAACATTGTCCCTTTGTCCTAGGTCAGGGGGCATAGGGTTCCATATTCTCCAAAGGAGAGTCAATTAATGCACCAAAAACTGTCACGTTAAAACAGGAAAGTAATTGACAACTCAACATTGTCCTTTTTTTCCTCCATGACTAGAAAAAAATTTTGAGCAGTGCTAGGGGCACTCGCCTCCTGCACTCTCCGGCCAACACTCCTCCTTTCATTGGGCCACGTTATTTTAGTTGGGCAGAGATTGCACTTCAGAGCTTAAACAACCTTACGTGGCCCAATGAAAGAGGGAGTAATCGCCGGCGAGTGCAGGAGGCGAGTGCCCCCAGCACTGCTCAAAATTTTTACGTTCTTACTTTGCCAGATTTGTTTGAGACAAAAGTGATCCTGTCCATATGATTTGCATGTACAAAACCCCCACACGTTGTAAGCTTTTTGTTGAGCAAATTATGTTAATATATAGTCCCTTCGCAACAATTACGCGTCCCGTGGACTAAAAATAGTGACAAAATTATGAGATACTAACGTCTTGCATGTATCATTCTTCAAATTTAAATATTACCCTACAAACAAGTTAGCTATTGACTCTCCATCCAAAATGGTCCCAATAAATTTGTTGTTTAATTATTTGGTTGCTGTCACAGCAAATCCTTACACTAGGATATAATATTAGGTTATATACTATATTTTTGATAAGTACAGTTTAGTTAAATCCTAATCACTATGAGAGAAACCCCAATTAAAGGCATTTGATTAGATTATCACTTTATTAAGAAAATTTTGGATGGGACTATTATCATGCCCAAACTACATTGCTGAAATTGAGAGGAAATATAAGCAAATCAGAGACCAACGGCACAAAAAAAAAAAAGAAGAAGAAGAAGAAGCCAAAAATTCTAAGGCAAAATTAAAGCAATTGGCCGTAAAGAAAGGGAAAAGGCAGAAGGATATGTACGGTAGAGGCAAAGAGTGAAGAAAATGGAGGTCAAGACAGGAAGAAACAAAGCTAATCACTGACTCTAGGGAGATGCATGATGGCGTGGACTCCATTCAGTTTCGATTTTTTTTTAAAAAAAAATTTCTTGAGAGATTGGGAGATGAAATAACGATTTTAAGAAGTCATAAATTGTAAAGGGTAAAATAATCTATATAAAGAATAAGCTGTTACATTCATAAGTTTAAGTGTAACAATAACTTCTCATCCAAAAATTGTTATTAGAAAAGTGATTAAAAAAGTATTGTATAAATTATTGTTAAGTTTTGTATGGAGCTTTTATTAGAATTTTGTTTGGTTATTAAGTACTTTATTGTGTTTGTTAAAAAATTAATAGAGAAAGTTGTTAAATAAGTTCAATATAAATATAGTTACAAGAAAACTTTTTCCTTGCAAAATAAGTTTGAAGAAAACTTTATGAGTTGACAATTATATCAGAGAAAATAAATGTTAAAAGCCAATTTTACCCTTATTTTGTTATGTTATTAATGTGTGAAAATACTTAAATAATCTTGCAAGGGGTAAGTTTAAAAATTTTAGAGGGTAAAGTTCTCCTCCAACCACACACCTCCTAAATTTTTTTGCAAAACCTCACTGTTACCTTGTTAAATTTATTGCTTTTAACTTCTCAACTTACATATTGAAGTTTCAAGTCCTTTAACTATTCAGTTTAAATTAAATAACCTAAATTTCTAGCTAATTTAACATAAATACCCACTTAACTTTTTGTGAGATATGAGGTAATTTAATGTCAATTTTGAATTATTTACCTTAAATTAAATAGTTTAAAGGCTAAAAACACTGAATTTAATAAAGTAAGGGTTAAATATAGGCTTTTATCAAAAATTTGGTGTAGAGCCACAGTCCACTTCTCTTCCACTCCAATTATATGGCATTACCTTTTTCTTTTGTGAATCATTACAATGGCAAAAAAATAGCCTGTTATTGTCTTGTTTCTAATTTCTATCTATGTTATAATTGAGTGGGTAGGCAAGTTCCTTGCATGCATGCTTTCAAACATTCTTATTTATTTATTTTTAATGTACACACTTATAGATGATATGATTAATTTGACAACACTTTTCTTTTGGTGGAAAAAATCATAACAACCGACCTCAATTAAAAAGGAAAAAACCCAATACTTGGCAAAAACGGCTCTAATTGGTGGACAGCTTGTTGATAAGAGGAAGAAGAATGTAAACCTTTACTTTAAGATTATCATTTTTCATGTGTATGAAAAAAGAAATGAAATGATTATGTGCTAGGCTCAAACTACATTTTTTAAAATGATTCAAACATAGAACAACCAACTTAATTAGATCGGAAATAGATCCTTTTAAAATTTTTTTTTTTTTTTTATAAATCCACATCATCGATGAGTGAGAATATTCTCTTTTGCTTTTAAGCCTCAGTATTTTGCCTACAAGTTAGGGCAAATATACTTTCTTTAAAAATTCTTCTGATGTTTTTAGAAGTTGATTATTTTAATTAATTTTTTAAGAACCATCTGTGATCATAGGTCCTAAACTGAAAGAAAGTAGGAGTTTGAGAGTCAAAACTGTAAAATACTAATTTATCCTTAAGTTTTTTTTTTTATACAATTTGATTTTCAGTGTTTTATTACAAAACAATAATTATTAAATGAAAAACAAGCCATGCAACTCTAATAATAAAAAGCTAGCCTTCCACCTAATCATTTAGGTAATATTA